TTCACCACACGGTGGCAGCGTCTTACCAGAAAGGTTCAGTGTAATGACCAGCGTTACATTCTGGTCTGTAGATCTGAAATGACTGCAGACTTCTAAAGTTTCTGTGTTAGTTTTTAAAGCTGCAGTCTGAGCGCTTTCAGCTGCTAAAATTAATCAGGTATGTATTCCAGGAACATCATGTCTGTACAGATGTTCATCTAACACTAATATAACAATAATGTTAGCGTGCCTCAGGGCAGGCTGGAGGCTTCCAGAGTCACAGCACAGTCGTGTGGTTAAGTGTGGGATTACATGAGTGCTGCCCACGCCTATTAACATACATAAAGTCAACCATTTCTTTACATTCTGTTAATTTTACAAAGTTTTAAACTCTTTAGAAAGAAAACGTTCTTCATGAAAACACTGAAGTCCTGCATTTAAAACCCAGGTCACTGCTGTCCTCCAGCTACACTCTGAAGACGATTTGTCTGTGGATGGATGGATAAAGTGCTCACCTTTTGTGGTCGTTTCCTCTCGGCTCGCTGGTTCTGGTGGTAGATTCGGCTAAATTTGACAGGGACCGGCATGCCACTTAGAGAGCAGATGGAGTTGAAGATCTTCCCCATAATGGTCTTTGGTACCATGTCGCCATATCTGAGAGAGCAGAGAGCCAGAGGTCTGCCTGGCTGTGATATATGTGCTGATATAACATGGAGAAAAAAGAGTAGACAGAACAGTCTGCGATTCGTGTTCTTTAGTGAATCGTCCACACAGAGCTACAAAGTTTGTGTGTTTCACTATCAAACATGTTACTTTATACCACACACACTAATGTTGGAGCATTTCTCATGTGGACCCACTTTATAAACTAGTTTGAATCCTTTGGTTCTGACTCTGGGTGGCGTGGTGGTGCAGCGGCAAGCACTGTCCCTTCACAGTAAGAAGGTCCTGGTTTGAATCCAACAGTTGGTTGGTTTTTGTCTCAAGTCTCTGTTGGTTCTCTCCAGCAAGCATTTGTCATTTCTAGGCTGGACTACTGTAATTTGTTATTATCAGGATGTCCAAGTTAATCCAAAATACTGCAGCAAGAGTACTGACAGGTACTAGAAAGAGAGAGCATTCCTGTACAGAGGAACTGTGATTAGTTAAACAACCAAGCAAAGACTAAAAACAAACAACAGGTGAGCTCATCACCTCCAGGTGTGTGAAACTGAAGGGAGGGAGCCAAGGATAAGTCCTGCATGTGAAACACAAGGCCAGGTTAATTCACACATACAAAACTCATTCACATGAGTGATAAGAATATCCAGGATGATTGTATTGGAGGCTGAGCTGTAGTCCACAAAGAGCATTCGGACGTAGCTCTGTCGCTGTTCCAGGTGGCTCAGCACAGCGTGGACGGCTATGGGGATGGCATCGAGGTTTGGGGGCAGGTAGTTCTTGATGTGCTAAAGGACTAGTCTATCTTAGGTTGAAGATTCTCTGCTCTTAGCACCTTGCCAGGTACTCCGTCTGGACCGGCAGCCTTTCTGGGGTTCACTGCTAGGAACACGCGTCTGATATCGTGTTCTTTTACAGTGAGTGGAGCGATGCAGGAACCGGGTCAGGATGAGGATGGGAGCAGGGTTGGAGCAGATGAAGGCTGCTGTTGTGGTGTTTCAAAGCGGGTGAACAAGAAATTTATTTCCTCTGCCAGCTGCACACACACGTTTTCTGTTTTCACAGTGCATGAAGAAATACCACTTCAGATGAGATTTGCTTTATGAGTAGGGAATTTCAGAAGTTTTATTTACCTAATAAAGTTCTGAACATCCACCAGGCTGCCAGTGAACCACCCATGGTTAGGGTGAAGTTGCGAAAGAAGGACTTCCAAAAACTGAAAGATATTTCCTATCTTACCACTTGTCTCTAGTGCCTAGCTGTAACCACCTCTTGTATAGGGCCTTTTTCTTTCCCTTTTCCTGTATTCACCACCCCGAGTAACATGCTGGTCTGCCAAGTGACACCACTGAGTCATATGAATCATCTGTGTAAATCTCATGCGCTTGCTAGAGATTTATACTAAAATGAAACAATGAAAGGAGTCACTCAAGTTAAGGAAACTAAATATAATTCTAATAATTATAGGAAAATTATATAAAATAGTTTTATTGGCTAAAGAAATGTAATCAAATGGCCAGTGAAAGTGAAAATGTGTGTAATGTGTGATAAACTGTTATCTACAGCAGTCTTGTTATTGGTAATAGCCACGGGGAGGCCACAAGCAAGTATACTCCTAGACACTGCTATGCCCAGATAAACTGTGTTAAAAAAATACATTAAGAAACAGATTATATCAGATTTTTATTTCAAATATGACAAAAATGTTGATTTTACAGCAGCAAAATTATTGCATCTCTGCGGTTTAAACATTTAATAAGCTTTCTGCCTCGTACAGAGTGGATAGTCAAATAAATTG